AGTTCCTTCAGAAGTTGCATAGATGTATGTTCTTTTTTCGCTGGGGGCGGGGGAAGGTGATGACTCATGTTAAAAAAAAGATTAACTGCATTCCAAGATAGTAGCAAAGTAGGTAAATCTGTTATAAGCTGCAAATCTCGCCCTTACAGTTGTGTTGGTTTGGTCCGTTGCTATTTATATGTATGTTTGTGGCAGTTGATTTTGCTAATGAATCAAAGCTTTTGGGATCTGAACATGTTCTTATAATAATGTTCTGCAGTTGGTTTTCTCTCGGGAATCTTTTGTGAAGACTAATGCTGCAAAGGAGTATGTGATTGCTGGATGGGCACCAAAGGTCGAAGCATGAGTTACTTTTAGAATTCGATGGCCTTTAAGCTATTGTTATAGGTGAGGCTTATGTTGGATGAATGCTGCTTCTTCTATTTGCCTAATAAGTGTTAGATCTATCATCTATCAGTATTTTTTTCTTTTGAGAAGATATCAGTATTAATAAAATAACTCTGTATTTAATATATGCTACTGATTGGTAAGCAAGTATCTTTATGAAAAGTATTATCAGCTGTCGAAATACTATTATGATTTTCGGTTTGTTCCCTTTTTCCTGAAGGTGTTAGAATGATCCTTAGATGGACAACAATGAATATATATTCTAGCAGACTTTGCGGATAGGATTTGAACATCTGACACCTTGTTGGGAACTGGACCTAGAGCAGCCAAAGAATCTCTTTTGGCTGCATCATTTTTATGTTTCTCAATATAGAAAGGATAGAAGCCATGCAAGTGGGCAATAGAAATTCTATAGATTCAACATGGGTTTCTTTGTTGTAGCTGGAGATATGGCCACTTAGGCACACAGATTGTGTCTGCCGAAGCTTGTGTTCCAGCAAAAAATTTGTTATTTCACTTAACCATAAGAGACTTGATGGTCCCATAAACTGATTCTTTTTCTCCCCTTAAACCCTCACAATGTTTGATATGAGAGAGAATTTCACCCAAGTTTTTATTCATGAAACAATATTTTGGTAGTGGTTTTAGATTGATACGAGAAGTCAAAAACGTAGGGTGGTTTAGTGAGGATATTTTCTTTTTGCTAAGAACAGGATCCGATAGCTATGTTACAAGAGAAGAAAGGTTGCAGACTGATCCAATAACTGACACAGAGAATCACGTATCAACAGTTTCCTGTGAAAGTGGTGGTGCCAACTGTGTTCTGGGTTCAAAGAGATGAAAATGAGTGGAAAGATTCAAGTAAACCAATTAGTTAGAAATTAGAGGATTGAAATTCAATGAGTCTAAACAACTACAGATGCTGCCAGCCTATTGTAAAACCATATAATTACTGGTCTGTCCAACTGACTAGCTTATGATCATGTTTGGAACTAAAAATTTTAGTTACCTAATTTATTTGGTCCTATTGCAAGTTACGAGACCCTTCAACATGGGTATGTCTGAGTATGGTATTGTATTTCCGTGAATAATTTAATAAAATTCTAGATACAGTCTATTGAGTAAGATTTTCTTAAATTATTGATGGAAATGTGATATCACATTGGTGGATACCCCTGGTACAAAATATCTTTCAGCGAACTATATCTTATATTACCCTTAATTTACTTTCCATTCATTTTTGTTCCCACTGGAGTTATCAGCATGAAGATTTTACCGTAATTCTTGAGGGCATTTCGCTTTGGATTGCAGAACACAACTATATGAACTAAATGCTGCTTTTATTTTGTTAGCTTTAGGGATATAATGGTTTTCATTATTTAAGTAGGTAGTGATTAACATTATTATGTACGAAAAGTGATACTATCGTTATCAGTGTTGTCTGCATTCTTTGGAATAAATAGTTGATTTTTTGGTACAATGATTGTGGATTTGGCCAATCATACTCTAGAATATATTTGCTAATTGGGTAGCTTTGTAAGATGCACCCAAGAAAAAAACATATGACTCACAAGTCTTGCCTTGAAGCAAATTGTTTTATTCAACAAAAATAGTGTGCTAGTTTGATTTGGCCTTGAAATTACTAGGAAATATTTATTCGAAGTATGTTGGTAATTTGAGTTTTTACCACCAGTACTATCGTATAGTGGTTAAACTTCTAACATTTTATTTGAAGATTATGAATCTTAATATTATTGAACATGTAGAATTACTATTTTGTTAATATTTTATAAATTGAATATCGTTGATAATATTTGATTTGTGGGTTTAAGATTTAGTTCATTACTAAGTCTGCAGTGGTTAAATTGATTTGGTGCTAACTGAGTCATGACGAAATGATCATTTCATGATAGTTAATTTAGAGTACTTACCTCGAGTAATATTTAACCAGATTTTTTCTATTAAAAATGTATATCTTGAGCTTTTTCTTTTGGTTGATAAGTAATTTGAATGTTGTATGATAAGATGTCGATCGTAATTGACAAATGAATGAACCAGCTAGCCTATACCATATGCTGAAACCTAAACCTCCAAACCATTGAAGCTGAAAAAAGCAAAATGGAGCCCAGTAGTCCAAGGTTTCTCTCTGTGATATCAATCAAGTTTCTTTCTTTTTTTTTTTTTTTTTGTTGGGTAAAATCAAATCATTAATAGCTTGTACAATTATTGTTCTTAAATCAATTTACTAAAAAAAGGTTTAGACTTTATTTTCAAGAGATGTAACATCAAAAAAGAATAAAAACAAATGAAGACAGCTTGATTCAAATCGAGTCATAAAAATCAGGTCACTGACATCATATTCCTTTTTAACTCTTTTACAGAAAATGAAAAAAATGATCTTGAAAATCTTATACGACACCAAACAGCAACATATTACATCAAACAATAACAAAACAAATTGATGAGCAGAGTCTGTGAAAGAAGATCAAACCAAATTTGGTTTTGGTCGAACAAAACTAGAAATCAAACCACAAAATTTAAGCCACTCGTTAAGATTAAGAATAGAAACAAGACATCAACATGGTCTTCCTTTGTTTCACGAGGAAAATAAAAACGAATTAAAAGTTGTCGATTGTGACGAGGCTGCTAACCAGACCAGTAGTCCCCACAGTTACAGGCTTCATTTATGAGAAAAGTATGTGTCATAGGAACGCATGCATTCGAGACAGATTCTTAAAATCCTAGCTATGGCTAAATCAATTTTCTGGTACAACCCAGAAGACATACAAAATTCGAGATGTAACAACCTGTCTCACCTCTTGTATTTTACTACACCTATACATATATATATATATATATATGCATACACTAAAGAGCCTGATATGTATGTTATAATGTTATAAGTAGTAGCCAGTTGTTATTCAGCACATGCTCTAGCTGCTAATTATATGGAAATGGCACACTGTAAGAAAAACTAGCTCGAAAGTCTTGATGTTGGAAAGGTCAAAGAATAGATTCAGTAAAAGTAAATTTTTTAACTGTTTTAGTTTTAGGAGAAGAAACCAATCATTTTTCACCATTACCCAGTAACAAGTAATCAATTATTTCATTAAGAGAGCTACTTAATGAAGATTACAGGGTTTCTCTTTTGTGTGTGTGTGTGTGTGTTTTCCTCTAGAAATCAGATAGCATATTGACGTGGCAGGCAGTGATTGGTTATGTCTTTAGTGTAATTTTATATTATATATTATATATATTTATTATATATTACATCATGATTCCGTGCTCTTCCGTATAAACATGTGAAAATAGGACCACAAACACAGTCACACTATATTTAATAATTCTCCTAAAGTATTTTGGACGGAAGTGCAGAGAGTTTTGAGGGAAGCTAATATACCAACTAGAAAAATACACACACATGGAGTAGAGATCATTTTCAATGGCGTAGGCGTAGGAATTTAGTCGTCTGGTTCTTTGGAGGAATCTGAGATCATCTTCTGGATCATTTGGCTTATCTCTTCTTGGGACATTCGATCTTGTTTCGTTTGAGACTCAGCATACGCCTCGAAGAACTCCTTGTTTTCTTTCTCTAATTCATTCCACACTGTTCATACATAGATCAAACCAATGATGTTACAATATATAGAAGGCCAAGTTTATATATAAATGTTAATGTTAACAAAACAATCGACTTGATCAACCAAACCCTAGTGGCTACAGAGAGATTTAGCTAATTCAAACATGAAGGCTAACAGATTCTTCAATTAGGTTACTTGCCCAAGAAGGAATTGTGATTTTATATGCATTGATGGAACTATATATGAAGTTTGGTAAATTAAGATCAATTGCTCAAGAAAGAGGTTGTAAGTCCATAAGCTTGATTATGACTTACTAGATCAAAAAGTGGATGGTTTTTAATGATCTTTATATGGTTAAGACTTCTTTTTCAAATGATCTTTATATAATTAAGACTGTTTTACTTTTTTCAGTTTCTGAAAAGAATCGTTGCATACAAAACTAACTCTATGCATCTCCGATCCCTTTTAGTCCTAAACTGTTGTAAAGCATGATACTTGACGAGTATCAAAAGAGACCAACTTGATTTTTTAGTACAGTCTTAATTCAGACTGCCTGGGGATTTACCTTGATGTATCAGCTTACCCAAAGTTTGTTGAAGATCATGATCAGGTAAAACTAAAATCACCAAGTTACCAAATTAGAATTAAAACTAAAATCATGAAGTCGACTTTGATCAAAACCAAAATCAGTACGCTATTAGATCCATCTTATTACATATAAATATGTAAATATATATACATATATGTATATGTCGAGTTATGGTTTTTGTATGCCTTCCATGATATGTGCAAACATGGATAAATAAGAAAAGGGAGAGAGTACTAAGGAACTAAAACAAACCAGTGGAGGTGATCACAGGTTGAATATTTGCATGTCTTGAGAGTGCTTCCATGCACTCTTCTTTACTCATGTGGAAGATCAGACACTTCTCGATCAGTGCTGCACCTGCAACATACAATAAAGTCACAATCATCAATAAAAAAACAAATAAATCAGACATATATACTATTGTACCATCACAGGATTATAAAGATATCATCT